TGTGCCCGCCCGTGAGTCTCCGCCGCTCAGCCGCTGTGGCAGCCGCCGCCGCCGCCAGCAGGAAGGCCCCGCGCTTCCACTGCTCGGTAAAATGGCTGCTCCCTACGGCGAGCGGTGACAGGCCCAGAGCTGGCCCGGAAGGGGCTGGAAATGGTAGACCTTCCGGGCCGCCTCTCCCTGCCCCTTCCTCCCTGCCTCCCTCCGTCTCTTTCTTCGTCTCCGCGAGCAGCCGTCGCTTAGTAACCCGTGCTGTCCTGGTTACGCCGTTTAGAAGGTCTAACCATCAGTTACCGGAGGAGGAGGCGGGTGAGGAGCAAACCACCCTCCCGGGCAGACCGGGACCGGGAGACGCGGCGGGGCCGGGGCAGCCCCGCGGGGTGCCGCTGTCGCCCGCGAGCGGTGGGCGGCCAGAGCTGGGCTCCTCACCATTCTTAACTAAGGTGGTTAGTTAAGGCGAGGAAGGGTGGCAGGCTGGGGACAGCCAGCGGGACTGGGCACGGGGCGTGCTCAGCGCTACCTTCCTCCAGATACCTCTGCAGAGGAGAAGGTGCTTTGGGCCCTAGGGACTCCTCTGGACCCCGCACACCAGGCTGCTGCTCAGGCCAAGGTTGGAAAGGGCGCAGCTCCACTGTGCCCACGTCAAAGCGTGCCTGGGGAGCTGCCACTGCAAGCACAGTGCTGTGTGTCTACCAGCTCGGCCGGGCATCACCAGGAGCAGCACCATCAGTGTAGCTGCTGCATGTGGGTGTAAGAATATGTGTCATTTAGGTCACATCCCGTACAATCAGTACTGAAGATGCCATCCTTAAGCACTGGAAATATTTTCAGGGAGTTAAGAGTATACCACGTGTAGGAAAAAAAAAATGGAATCAATAACCTAAATACTATTATTTGCATTCAGTTTAAATGTCATTTAAACAGACATTACAGGCACATTCATCTGTACAGGGCAGAATTTGGTCTGATAATCATGCTTTTTCTATGCCTTGTACTATTTTTTTCCATGTGCTCTCCAATTATTTTGGAGGTTTGTTAGCATTTTCTTTCTTTCATCTGACTGCTCTCTTCCTTTTCTCACTGAAAGTGCTATCCCACACTGATTTACCGCAGTCTGGATCAGCGCAGCCACAATGCTGCCTTCCCCTGCCTTCACGCACATCTCTTCTGTTTTCCACTAGCATTCTCGTGATCACAGTGATGTGTCTCAGCTAGCTAATTTGGCAGAAACCTCATCCAACAACAACAACAAAAAAATAAAACTAAAAGGTGATGAACATTTATCTGGATCCACCCCATGAAGAAGTTTCCATGCAACTGCTGCCTCAAGGGAAGGGAGTGAACACTTAGGTCTTAGGTCATCTCTTAGATGTGCTCAGTTGTAGCGGAACACATGCTGCCCCGAGGGTAGAATTTCACAACTGAAGTAACATGATGTCAGCATGTGATGCCAACAAAAGCAGCAATAAATCGGTTCTGCTCTAAGCTGGGCTTCTCTGCTGAAAATTGCTGCCAAGGAGATACGGCTAAACTAACGTACAGAGTTAAAGGACAAATACAGCCAGTGATAACCTGTACTTATACCAGTATAGAAAGCTACTTTAAAATATATTTTTTACATTTGCTCATTAAATTGTACCTATTACTGGGATCTGTGGGGTGCATGCACTTTTTCACAAGCACAGCCATGGCCTCCCTGTGCAGTGTGAGATTGTAAGTAGTGATGGGACAAGGGTCGGTTCTGCTCTAAGCTGGGCTTCTCTGCTGAAAATTGCTGCCGAGGAGATACGGCTAAACTAACGTACAGAGTTAAAGGACAAATACAGCCAGTGATAACCTGTACTTATACCAGTATAGAAAGCTACTTTAAAATATATTTTTTACATTTGCTCATTAAATTGTACCTATTACTGGGATCTGTGGGGTGCATGCACTTTTTCACAAGCACAGCCATGGCCTCCCTGTGCAGTGTGAGATTGTAAGTAGTGATGGGACAAGGGATAATGGCTTTAAACTATCAGAGAGTACATTTAGGTATTAGGAAGAAATTACTCATTGTAAGGGTGGTGAGACACTGACACAGGTTGCCCAGAGAACCTGTGACTGCCTCAACTCTGGCAGTGTTCAAAGCCAGGCTGGATGGGTGTTTGTGCAACTTGGCCTAGTGGAAGATGTCCCTGCTCATGGCAGGGAGGGTGGAACCAGATGATCTCTAAGGCCCCTTTGAACCCAAACCATTATCTGAGTCTATGAGTCTGTGTATTTTAAAGCAAAACAAGGGCCTGATGAGACTAACCAACTCTGTAAATAGAGACCCATGGCTCTGCACTGACTCTGTAGAGAGAGCTCTTTGCTGATGCTGAGACTGCCAGAGAACAATTCAGGTTCATGTAAGTGAATCATGAACAAAAACATAAGTGCAGTAAAGCAAAGGTTAAAAGAATGACCATGAGCATAAATGAGAGCAGTAAATCTGGTAAACTGAGAAAAGCTGTGTAAGCTGAGAGCAGAAGGCCTGCCTTCTGATAAGGCTGTACTATTGATACACGGATTGACTCCACAACTCGTTAGAGTTGTAAAGTAGGTATGCTTTATTCAGCGCTGAGGCACATGGGGGTTTCTCCTCCAAAAGCATGCGCGCCCCCCTTTGCCACTCAGTTCGTTTATATTACATACAATGATTATCTAAACACGAGATTGCTTCATGCCTAATACATATGCAAAACCTATTCCCGTCTAGTATTATAATTAGTTTTCTGCATTCATCCCATTGGTGCGCCTGCGCAGTGCCTCCTGGTGGTGGTCGTTAGGGGGTCGTGAGGATGAAGGCTTGTAGTTCCTCTTAATCACCGCGAGTAAGCTCTTGCTTTCACACAGACTCAATAGGGTTTCGGCTCCTGTCCAAACCTCACGTTTGGTACAAGCTGGTTTTATGTATCTTAAAGCAGAAACTTGTCAAGTTTGCAAATTTTGTTACTCTGGCTATCTTTTGTTCCTTTTCTTTCCAAAGATACTATTTGAACAAGAATGTCTTAAATACTAAGCTATGAATCTTATCTACTACAATTCTGCCTAGCAGCTGTAACTCCTACAATTCTGCTTCACCATTCTAGCAACTTTGACTCCTATGGTTCTGCTTCACCCAGCATAGCAACTGCTTAAGCAAGCAGGCACAGTGTTAACCCTTTATTTCCCAGTATCAATATCACAGGTGATTTGTCAAAAGGCCTCTGCCCTCAGAACAGAAGGATGGCAGCAAGGTCACTGCATGCTGTAAATGCCATCCCTGCCCTGGCTGTCACAACAGGAAGTCAGGGTGTAGACATGGAGATACCCAAACCAAGGAAACAAAGAAATCGGTGTGATAAACACGTAAATGTATTGGCTTTTGCAAATCATAGGTGTGGGTATGTGGATATAACTGTACGAGTTTACAATAACATAAATAAAACTCGATAAAGACACAAGACTAGACAACAAGTTAAAAAGGTTCAGATCTCTTGATCACAACGGAGTCACATAGCAAAAGAATTTGTAAAGGTAAAAGAAAGAAGAGGGCAGGGGCTTGGTATAAGGAAAGCTAGTGCCTGGAAAACATAAAGTACTTTTTAGCTTAACTTAGGTTGTAGAAAGAGAACAGTGTTTATGTTGTAAGTCTGTGGAATGTAGTGGCCCCACTAAACATGAGTTAATTGTTTCACACTAATCTTCTAAAGTATCTTTAGTTTTAAAGAACAGTGTTTGTGTTGTAAGTCTGTGGTGAGATAACAGGATTTAATGGCCCCCCTAAACATGAATGAGTTATTTCACACCATCCTTCTACTTACCAGTTAGTTTAGAGACAGAGCATCCCAAACATCTGCCAGCTTGGGATACTCCTTGTCTGCCTATCCTGCAATAAATTTTGCAGGAAGGTCACACTGTTTTAAATCTTTGCTAGTTATCAGAATAATTACAGATATAGCTGGTTGTGTGATTACTGGGGGGTCCAACTGTGCCAAAGGTGAAAAGTACACTGTGAGGAAGACTGCTTACTTCATCTTGAAGACCCCTACTCACAAGAGGAAGACTGTTTACTTCATCCTCAAAACCCCTGCCTACAATCACCACAGAGCAGTGTGCAGACACCAAGAGGAGGAGACTTATGATAATAAAATACTGGAGTTAGTTATAATATCCCCCGCCTATATGCAGGAATTATGAATAGGTATGTAACTGATGTAATAGTGAAAGTATATAAACCTGTAACAAATACTAATCGTGCCTCTGGCTACGGTCATGCGCCTAGTGCTGTTGCTTTTGCTTTATTGACTTTGTCCCTCAATAAAACCTTGTTATCTTGTTTAGAGGAGTGAGTTCGTATTTTACAACAGGGAGCAGCCCTGCCTGAGATTAAAGGAGGCTGAAGTAATAAAAAACTGGAGTAATGACCCACTGCCAAATTTGAAACATAAATGGCAAATTGAGTAGCTATTACTCAGACCAAAGCTTTGACAGATTGTCCTAACGAATGGTCTAAGAAAACCCCAACCCACCACAACAGAATGTAATTCCATGGATGGGTTTTAACTGCTATATGTTATGAGGAAATGTTTGAGGAGCCCTTCTAATCAAGCTGGGAAGGCTGTCATAAGGCAACGTGCTTTAGCCAGATACCGTGACAAGAACCTGTCGGAACCACTTGCACTACAGCAACACCCACAGCCCTCGAAGGTGACATCGCAACCAGTTTTATTCAGCTTGACTGTGCCAGTAATAAACACTTAACTCCCGGCTGTGAGCAAAACTGAGGGCGCTGCTAACCGGACACCACCCGAAGCAGCACCGCACGTAGGACACGGAAGAGCGGGCACCTCAGCAACTACAGAGGCGGGTGCAACGCGTCTTTAAAGCACCCCTCCCGGTCCTGCCTCTCCGGCCGCCATTGTAACTTCCCCCCTCTCTCCCTCAACGGCCACCGCGCGAGGGTTCTCGCGAGAACACTCCCACTTCCTCCCCCGCGCCCGGCCGTTGGCCGGCTACCCCGAGGGGCGGGACTCGCGCCGCTTTGAATCGGTGTCGGGCGCCAGGGCCGGGACGCGACATGGGGACGGTGGAGCCGGTGGTTGAGGCCCGGCCAGAGGAAGGGGATGGCATTGTCGCGGCTGGTCCGAGGCGCCTGGAGGTTCCCCGGCCACCCTCCATCGAGGAGTTCACCATCGTGAAGCCCATTAGCCGTGGCGCCTTCGGGAAGGTGTACCTGGGCCGCAAGGCAGGGAGGCTTTATGCCGTGAAGGTGAGGGGCCACGCGGGCTAGGGGCGCCTCCCCGTCCTCTGCCGCCCTCTGCCGCCCTCGGGGCTCGGTACTGTTTCTTCGCTGCCCAGTGTCGCTGTGCTTCCGTACTCCGCTGTCGTTTAACTTAGTGTAAGAAAAGGGGTGCCTAATGAAGGCCTACCGCGACCCGAGTCCCCTGTCTACTGATTCCTGGGCTTCTAGGGAGCTGGCGCTGTTCTGGCAGGAGCCCGGTGTCTGGGAGATGGGCTGTCGGCATGACTCTGTTTAGCGTTCTCCTCACAGTCGTATTTGCCTGGAAGCTTTGGGTAGGAGGCACCTGATAACGGCAACTGTTTCTTAGAACTACCTTAGCTGTCGGAGAAGGCTAAAAGCTTTACAAAGTGCCACCGCCCTATTTCCTTCTCGCTTGTAAATACTAGAATCGAATGCATGCAGCTGTCGTGCTCCAGGGACGGTGTTCTCGCATCTAAGTGAAAAATCTGCCTCTGATATGTATAGGGAAAGCAAATTATTTAAAGAATTTTTGCTGAGTACACATTTTAAAACCCTTACGTTTTCTACATTGATATGCAAAGGATTGAAAGCCGGCCTTGTCAGTGGTAAAAACTTTACTGATGGTGTGAACTTGACCTTGCAATAAAAGGGTTTATAACTATCTGCATAGTGCACAAAGAGGAAAAGTAAAACTAGTCATGCAAAGCAGACATTGCTCTTCACACCTGTGTGTCTATATGATTTACTATAAACGTTTTGAGGTGAAAGCTTATTTGTAAACTATTGTCGTGAAGTTTATGGGCTGTTCGCAGCTACAACGTTTAACACATGCTTAAATATTTGTACAGTTAACAGTTATTAACAGTGCAGTTCTATGTGTTCTGTGTATATCTTGGAATTTATTTTTTTTTTGCTATCAACTGTGATAATAGTAATGTAGTAGTGGAAACTAGTTTCCTGCAGTTTAGGTGCTGCATATAGAGTGGTTCGATTGCATTACTGCAGTATCTTACACAAGTTTATTGGAAGTTTTGTGACCTAAAGGGTTTTGTGTAAATCCTTTATTGTTGTTGCAGTGAGATTTACGGATTATTCAAGCTGCAGAGCTTTATGTGCTAGGTGGTTTTTACTGTTAACATCAACACCTATGTTGATGGTATCAAATTACGTTTCTTAATGTCTTGCTGTTTTTAAATGTTACCAAATTCTGTTATTGAATTCCAGTGGTAGCTGTAGATTCAACTTTAGTTATGTTGCATACAGAATGGATAAATTAAATTTGCTTTAATATCACCATACAGATCTGGACCAAAGATGTTGAAAGTGGGCAAATTTTCAGGGTGTATGCAATGCTTGCCTAAATACCCATCAGCTATGCTTTTATGCACCTTCTGTTCAAGGTTAAGTGGCCATCAGCACAGATGAATACAGGAATTAGATTGTAAATCACAGTTAAGCTTCTTATTTCTTCATTGTGAGTTGCATGTGTTTGAGGCTTCTCCCCAAGGAAACAAATATTTGTTGGGTGTCTTGACTGTAAATTAAAATTAAGCTAAAATTCACTGCTTTCTCTGTAAAATTAAGAATTGGAGACTGGAATAGTTGCAGTCTTGCACTTGAGGATGCCAAGACAGAATGACTTACTGCTGCACTCTTCAGTCCTCAGAACATACATCTCAGTCTCTGGAGAGCTGGAAAGACTTTGTCAGCAAGTGCATATCTAAGCATTGAACAAGCCTTTCTGGTTCTGAGTTGTATGCTGTGGATAAGAGGATTAACTCCAGGCAGCTTAATTTCACATACAACTTAAACACTCATTTTCAAGTGTGTGCAATTGCAGATAATATTGGTAGTGTGATTTCCATTCAGGAGTGAATTAGGAGGAGAGCAATGGAAAAGGTTCTTTAATAACCTGTGTTTCCAAATTTTTTCTGTATGTGAAGTTATAACTGTTTTATTTGTATGTCTATGCAAGGTAAGAGATATGTGAACTGACTGATGAATTATGGGTTGAGCAAATAAAAGAATGTTTATTTGATTCCATTTTGTTTTTCAGGTGATGAAAAAAGCAGATATGATCAACAAAAACATGGTTCACCAGGTCCAGGCAGAGAGGGATGCATTGGCTCTCAGTAAAAGTCCTTTCATTGTGCACTTATACTACTCACTTCAGTCAGCTAATAACGTCTATTTAGTGAGTAAATAAATTATTCTGATGGTTTATGATAGGATTGAAAATGGAGTGCAGAGCTTTATTCATGTCAGAAAACTATTTTCATGATGGTGAAAGTGACCAGGGAATGGACTTGCTTTCTTTCTTGGAATGGTTGAACAAGTGAAATATTTCTCTTCCCCTGGTACCTTTTGAAATCATTCCACCTTTTTTCCTTTTTTTACATGAAAGCCTTTTTCGTAGGTAATCTGAGGAATATGTAGAAATCTTAGGGAAAGCCAAACAAGAAATCATTCTGTTCAAGCGGAATCCAAGTAACTGAAAAATACCCTGTGGCTCACTTAAAGGAAATCTGTTTCACTTGTTGCCTGTGGTCAAAATTCATGATGGTGGTTAGCCTAGATGACAAGAGGATAAATGAGTGGGAAAACTAAATGCTAGTCTACATGGAGCACTCTGGAGTACAGAGGGCTTGAACGTAATTTTATATGCTGCCTCCACATGAAAATGGTATGGATTAAGACTCTCTATATAAGGATCTGCTGTATTGTCTTGTTTGCTATAGGGACAGACAGTGAACAGCTTGATTAAATTGAGGTGAGGTTGCTGTGCACTCCTACAATGCATTTTGGGTATAAATGAAGGCTTCTTTTCCTGGAATCTCTGTTTAATTGCTGTGTAGAGTAGAGGAGTTCAGGGTGAAGGATTTTAAAGGAGATGCTAATCATAATATATGGAATAGTATTGTATGTTGGAATTTAAGTACTGATGAGATTGATTGACAGAAAAGCCCATAAAATCATTCTTGTTATTGAAAAGTGAGCTTCTGAAACCCTGCTGACTTTTCTTTTGTATTGACTATGACATGGGCCATAATAATGTGTGGGTTTGATTAAATTTTTTGTGTATTTTTGTTAAACATGCTTGTTTCTTAAATACAGTAGCTCTCACTGTATACATTCCTGGAAATTTGCATTTATTTCACGAGGCTCAGATCTGAATTTGCTATTGTGTATAAATAGTAGCAAAATAAAATCATTGAGATACCTGTTCTATACAAACCAAATACCAGTGGTATTTGGCTTCAGGCCTTGAGCTTCCCAGAAGTGCTTTGTAATTTATTTTCTGTAATACAGAAATCTGTCAGAAATTAAAAAGCTGAGCTGACTGCAGGAGTCACTTGAGAGCTGACTATTGAAAGTAGGCTAGGCAAATAAAATCAGCAAATGGTCTATTAAAAGAAAAATGTTTTATGTCCTCTATAATTTGAAGTTTTAACTTTATCCAAGTGAAAAGTACCCTGTGAAAAATGAAGTTGGCACAAGGAAGCTGCTTTTGTATTCTGCTCTTTGAAGTTACGTCTTCCTAGCGGTGAAAGATATTTTTTATGTTTGCAAACTTTAAATGCATTTTAAAAATTTAAAACATTTGAATGGCAGGTGATGGAGTACCTTATTGGTGGAGATGTCAAATCTCTTCTCCATATTTATGGATATTTTGATGAAGAAATGGCTGTTAAGTATATTTCTGAAGCGGCATTGGCTCTTGATTATCTTCACAGGCATGGGATAATCCACAGGTAAAACCTACTTTTTGTTCTCTTACAAATAAGCATCTGGTAGTTTGAGTTTTTAATTTTTCCCTCAAACACATAACCAATCACCATTTCATAGTAACAGTTGACTCACTTGCTAGAGCTTCTGAAAGGTCTTTTTGCATGTGTACACTGCAGCAATGTCATGAAACAATTAAAATCTTTCTATATATGTTAATCAGACAAACATACTATACTGCTTTCCCCTGCCTGTGCATTCTTCCCCCAGTACTGAGATGTATTAGTAACTATGCTGCCTCCTAGGTCCCCCCCACTCTTAAATGATTGTTAGTTCTGAGTACTGCAAGCATGTAACTGTAGGACAAATGGACATTGACTACTCTAGTGCTTCCCTTGTAGTGAGAATTCTTTGCTGCATTCAGTAATGCCACACAGAGAAAAATATTTTACTGGAGGCTTGCTTGTCATATGTTGGAACTACACATTAGTAAATGTTGTGATGTTAGTACTCACAAAAAACTTTTAAAACCTTGTCCTGCTGAACCCAGGACAAACCTGATGAAACAAACACATAACGTGCATGGTCATTTTACAAGCTGACAGGTTTGTACAATTTTTAGTGCTAGAAATGTTTAATTGTTTTGGTGCATTCCTCCAGATAGAATCTTCTGCTGGCTAAGAGTTGTTACTGAAAACCAGCTATAATCAGTGTTTTGTATTGAGTGTTTCTGGATAGGTAACTTTCTTAATATTGCTTAGTTGTCTTTGCTGACTTGAACTATGTTCACGTCTTTAGGGATCTGAAGCCAGACAATATGCTTATTTCTAATCAGGGCCATATAAAGTTGACAGACTTTGGGCTTTCCAGAGTTACTCTGAATAGAGGTAAGGGTTGTCTGTATCCTTTTACTTGTATTGAATTGTGTGTTTGTGTCATGTGCCCATATTCCTGAATGCTTGATATCCCCATAGAGGGCAGCTTTCAATTAAATAAGCACAAATGTTGCCCTATTATCTGTTTTCTAGTAGGTAAGTAGTAATAAGGCCCATGCTGTAAAGGGTCTGCTCTATACCTTGCACTTCAGAAGCTAAAATATTTATTCTTTGCGATGAGGGTCCATGAAATATGATCTAGAGCCATTTCCCTTGAGGTGTATGGATTTAAAAGTTTTATATGAAGTTCACTAAGAGAATTCAAATGGTGAATGAATAATTCTGGCTTTTTTCTTTGTGTTTCTCTGGCTATTTCTGTACTTGTATATATTTTTTCCACCTTGAACCTTCCTTAATGTGAGAGACAGGAGGAGGTGGTGAGTCTCTAACAGAAGATTATAAATCAGTGCTTTAGTATATGAACATACTGTTTTCAAGTAGCAGAAAATATAGCTGAATAGCCAAATGACTGTCTGGCACAGGCAATAGGCTGCATGTCTTAAGGTGAATAGCCAGTTCCTGAACTAGTTTGCATCTCCAACCCTTTAGGTGCGTAAGTCAGCCTAATGCCAAACAGCACCAGGGTTTTTTTTCTGTTGTTGTGTTTGGTGTAAGTGGATTTTGTTGTTTTGTGGGAATTTTTTTTGTTTGTTTTGTGGGGTTTTTGTTGGTTTTGTTTGTTGGGTTTTTGTTTGGTTTTGTGTGATTGCTGTGGGTTTTTTTGGGTTTTTTCTTTTTTTTAGGCAGTTGCTGATGGGTACATCCTTTTATTGAGTTAAAGTAATGTAGAAATTCAGAGTTGTCTATAGAGTTTGCCTTTAAGCGTATAGAGGAAAATCCTAAGTTTAGGGTGTTTTCAGTAATATGGTGCTTTAATTGATAAATTCTAATGGGACATACTGTGTCTAGCTGAACAGATGTAAGCTATAAACTTACTTGCTTTTAGCGAGCAAAAAATGGCATCTAAGGTTAAACTTTCACCTATGAAAAATTTGCCTGTAGCTTTGTTGCAATATCTTTGGGAGAGAAGGCATGCTTTGAATTAAATTTACTATCTTAGCCCACAGGCAATAGGCCAATTGCTACCAAAAAACAAAGCTGTTATCAAGTTGGAATACGTAACACTTCCAACATGGTATGTTGGAAAGGAAATTGGACTTTAACAGTTTCTGTATTTGTAAACTGTAGTTTTACGATATACAGGATATCCTCTTGAATAAGTATGTATGGATAGGTCTTCATTTGGGTTTGGTGGCTTCTTTTGTATATTTGTCCAGTATGTGGCACCACCTCTTAACGCTTAAGTAAATGCCTGCAAATTTGCTTATTTAATAGCAAAAGCAAAAACTGACCTGCTTTGTATCTTTCTCTGTTTGTAGAGATAAATATGATCGATATCCTTACTACACCATCAATGGTAAAGCCAAAGCAGGACTACTCGCGTACTCCAGGACAATTGTTGTCTCTCATCAGTTCTCTGGGTTTTGTAAGTAATTTTCACCATCTTTAAGTACTTCATTCTTTTGGCTTGCTTACTACTTTTTATGTAAGAGTGTTCAGGCTATACTTGCATCTTTTCTGCCAGCTGGTAGCAGGACTTGTTTCCAGTACCTTGAAGTTCTGAAGTGATTACCTAGGACTATGTTTCAAACTGCTGACTGTCAGTTGTGCTTCAAAAAAATTGGTAAATGGGCATGGCTAAACTCCAGTGCAGACATAATAAAGTATATGTGTGGTTACACTCCCAATCCTGGATGTTTTGTTCAGACTTCATTAACTTGTAACTGTACTTCTTACTGTTTGATAGTATACGCCTGTTGGAATGAAAATGCCGGAGTACAAGTCAAGCGAATCATCTGAGAGTCTGCATGGAATGGTTTCTCCCTTACCTGTGGTCCAAAAGGAAGAAACCCCTCTTTCAACTAAATTATTCAAAACATGTGAGTATACTACACCTTGTACTGAGTAATACTCTGGCTATAAGATTGTAGTCTTTCAATTTTATGGGAGTAGCTTGAACCCACTTGATGAAAGGTGTGCTTCTGTCAGTGTCTTGCTGTCTACTACCCCTCTAGTATGTGAGGTCTGACATGGTTTCACCTACATTACTTACATCATCTTCTGATTTATTTTTTTTTTTCAAATGCACAACTACTGAATGCAAAATGGCCCTTTAAGATTTTACATAGATAGTGTGAGTTCCTGGCATTTAACATAATAATGTGCGCTTTTGTTTAAATTGCCTTATCTTACTGCTTCTTCATTTCTGACCTGAAATGAGGAAGAAGGCTACCATGGCACTAATGTTAATATTGCTTTTAAATTCTTGGTAAGTCCTTGCTTCAAAAAATGAGTGAATTAACTATGCAGGAAAGATGAGAGAAATGAATGTCATGCATGGCTTTCCATAACTTCCTTCAGTATGAGAGCTTGCCATACTGTGAAGCTGGTTAATATTTGTTGCCTATTTGTATCAATGCTTGATTATTTTTATTTTTTTTCCTTTCCCCTCTCAAGATCTTGATACTTCTCCATTAACTCCTGTGATGCCAGTGAGAAGTTTAACTCCTACTCTGCTTCAGTCAAGAAAAAGGTTTGGTACCTCCAGTGCCAGTAGTCAATCCCAAAAATACCTGTCTGGTATGGAATCGGGATGCTGCAGCAGCCCCAGGTGGGAGAAAGATGTAGAGGTCAGGACTGTTTTATCTTCCCACTATACATTAAAACTAGTTTGTAGTTTTATATATACTGCTGCAGATATCCTCTACTTACTTCCCCCAGTTATTTCAGATGTAGAGAAGCCTTCCTACAGTAGGAGCAGTGGTTGTAATCCTTGCTGAGTAGGAGTTTTGGATCAAACTAGTAGTATTTCTTTCTTCAAACCAATAGTAGTCCTGTGCAGCATAACACAAAAAGCAAAGGCCACTTAATCTGCAGCCAAGGCTTCTGCTGGACAGCACTGGCTTAGCCCTGTTCTTCACTCCCTGTACAGTTGTATTAGCTCAGCATGCAGACAAAAGAATTTCTTTTAAAAGGCAGAACTTGGTAAAAATTATAAAATACACTTCAAATTTCTACTAGCTATTAAAAATGGGAAAAGCTTAAGGTTTATACTACTGGAAGGTTTTGTATCAATTATTCAAGCACCAGTAGTTATAGCTGGTGTTGTATACAAAATACTTTCTCCTAGTTTAAACTATTAATGAAATTCTGTACAAATACAGACCGAAAAGAAAATGCTGCTATGATATTTGGTCCTTTGCACAATTCCTCATGTTTAAAATAATTTATAACTTTGTTATATCTGTCCATTTCTCAAGATGATGTTTTCAATATTGTGTTACCAAAGTGGTAGTAATACAAGTTTTTTCTTTTGTCATCTCTGAAGTATAAACAACAGGGTAGTATGATGGGGTTCTTTGATTTGGGGTTTGTTAGAACCTGAGAACTTCTGTAGCTTAACTTCTTAACATAAAATCAGAAATACAACTTTAATTGCTATATTTCTTTCTTAAGCATTTAAAAATACTTTATTTTCTATTGTATTCTACCAAGCTTATGTTCTTAAAGTCAAATTATCCCTAATCTATTTTTTTTTCATGTATTATGTCATGTTTGTCACTGCTAGTGCTTATAAAGAATAAGTGATGCTTGGCAATTTGCAATTTTTTTATGGAAGTGGAACTGAGGTATTTTAGGACATTTCTGTAATGCTGTAGCCCTATTTTTCTTGATACTCAATCTGCTTGTTTGTAGCAAAGTGAAGATGGACCATGTTCTACAACAGGCAAACCAAGTAACAGTGGGTCAACTCTCCTTTCAAATGTAGAATTACAGAATAGCAAAGGTTTGAATATTTTAAAGACAGAAGAACTGGAGTCTGCCATTTCTCCCATCAGCAGCAATGACTCTGGCAATCAGCAGAAGTTGGGAAGTGAACGTTCTGATATAACAAATACTCCTGTGACCGCACTGGATATGAAAGGCATAGTCAGAAAATGTCTTTCTGAAAAAAAGATTTGGGAGGAAAAACTCTTCATAAGTGAAAGAGATAGGACTAATGAAACACCAGAAGCTTCCAATGGACGACAGTCATGGTCAAGGCAGAATGAGCCTGTCGAGCCTATTAAAAAGGAAGAGATTTTTGAAAAGCCAGGTGTAAAAAGAAGCTTTGAATTAGTTGACACTAGTCCTTCTGAGGAGCTTAACTATGTTAAGAAGAGCAATGCAGAATATAAACGTGGCTGTCAGATCATAGAATTTCCAGCACATAAAAGGACAGGTTTGACAACAGAAATTCAATCCTTAATGCTTCGTGATGATGGATGCCTACAGGACACCTGCAAAAGCAAGGAACAAATTCAGAGTCTTATTGGTAACCAGAAAACAATGGAAAGTTCTCTTATTTCAGTTATAGCCAAAAATCTTGCATGTGATCTGGATGCTGACTATGAAAAGGATAATAAAAAGGAGTATATGAACTCAAGTTTTTTTGGCAGTGATGATGAAAAGCCTTCAGGAATCCTCAGTGCAGATTCTGACTTGTCATTTCCTGAAATGTCTGTTACAGAAAAGCAGCTTTTAGATTTGGACAGAAGTGTTAAAGACCTTTCCTTTGAGCAACTAGAACCAGAAGGCGTGCTTGTAACATCACCGAAGTCCCAAGATGCCACACAAAATGGAGAGGAAGCACATGCTGTCCAGGAATACAAGCCATTACCTGATGAAAAGGGTAATGACCAAAAACACATGAAAGAAACTCACCATGACATAGTATCTTCTCCTTCAGAAAAGATGATGGAAGCACTGAATATGTTAAAAAAAAATGCTGTTGTTTTTCGAAGTTATAATAGCCCAATTAATATGTCCAATATATCTGAGCCATGTAGCATGGCTTCCTTAGATATAATGGATGTTTCACCTGCGTGTAGTGGCTCTTACCCAACAGCTATTACTCCATTACAGAAAGGAAGGCCATACCGAGTCTATCAGGTATGTAAGGAGACATTTGGAGGCTTTTATGTGCATTAGGCATTAGTGATCTAAAATTTTCAGTTGCTAATTTAGAGGGAAAATTGTAGTAGCTTAAGGTAGTCTGTCATAGTGACCTTTGCGGACAGGCTTTCACTTGTTGCACTTCGGTGGACAAAATTACAGTTATTGGTAAGCTCTTAAAGAAATTATGTGTCCACTGGTTTGCTTCTGTCTCGGCAAGTGTTGTCTGTCCACCTCTTGGAGAAATCCTTTACTCTTACAGTGTACCAGTAAAGAAAGCCTGGGCTATTTTGTCTTACACATTTAGTGCAGTATGGTATTTTCTGTGGGTAATTGTATGCTTCCTGATGTGATGGGAAGGCTTTGCTTTATTTATTTATTTTCCATCCTGCATTCCTCCCAAGACAGTCTGCAAATGCTGTTCAGGCACAATAAGAACTATTGTGCCTGCTGTTTTCTTATCCTGGTAATGTGTACTGCCACGTATCAATTGCAAGCTTATTACGAAGCTTAATGTAAAAACTTGCTGTGGATTTGACATTGGAGGATGAACTTAGGCAAAAGTTTCCTTAAGAGTAGGTATCTTAACTTTTTATGTTTTAAGACAGTTGAGATAAAGAAATGGAAACACATTTCACAATTTCTCAGGGAATGTACATTGTGATATGTGTTTGACTTTGCTATTGACTTTGAGTATCAGCTATTGCACCAATGGGTGCAACTAAACCTGGAGATGGGAGTTTCTCAGCTGTTTTTGATTGACATCTGAAGTCTTTGTTGCCCCTTTTAAGACACCTCATCAGGGAGATGCTGGCACACCGTATAGGACTCCAAAGAGTGTAAGAAGAGGAGCTGCTCCAGTAGAAGGTGAACGCATCCTGGGGACCCCAGACTACCTGGCACCTGAGCTGCTTTTGACAAAGCCTCATGGTAAGACAAACCATGGAGTTTCTAAATACTAGTTAAGGTGACATGCTTACATTTCTAAAGGTCTCTACAGCTCTAAACCCTTTAAATAGTAAGACTATAAGTTATTTAAAAATACCTAGTGCTTAGCTTTGGCCAACATGCATGGCTGTGTTTGTTCAGCTGCCCCTCTATTTTTTTCACATCTCCAAAGGTTTTGACTGTCTAGTGTAGTCTTGTCTGCTGTTAATCTAATGCACTGGAAGTGGGCTTAGGCAGCCTGGGACTTGTATGTGGTTTAGGAATCACAACTTGGTCATCCTGAGTGTTCTTAAAGATTCTTTGGGGTGGGGCAGGAGGAACTTAGTGAAATTTAGTATGAAAGGATTAAGCCTTTGTTTATTGATATTAGTGTTATGTGTATCCAGACAAGTTTATAAAGTTGCATCCAAATCAGTTACTGAGTTGAATGACTTCATGAAACACTTAAGATGTTGGCAGGATCTTTCAGACAAGTGGACAGTAGTAGCCATCAATTTTATGTTGCTTTTCAAAAATACAGTAATAAAATAGCAGAACTTTGAAGTCCATAAATTTCTTTGGCTCAAATACTGAGATCAGCAAGAAGTCTTGAAGTATTTTCCTGCTAACTTGCAAGAGCCATTAACAAAATAACTGCAATGTATCCCTGATATATTGGTTGTATTGATAATTACATTTTATTTCCATATCAAAAGTATACTTCTATTTTGTAGAGCTAATAGTCTTAGGAAAATTGTATGAGATAAGTGATCTTCATTGAGAAATAAAACTAATCTGTGGAACAATAAAATTCTGCTGTATGCAGCTAATATATGTTAACTAAAACTGCATGAAGTGACTTAACAATTTAATGACTAAAGTTACTAAACATACGTAGTTGTTGTTTAGCAATTCTGCTTAAAAATTCTGGTGATTTGGCAGGCATTAAACAGGATAATAGCTTGGAATACAATTAATGCTACTTAGGCAATGTGAAACTTTGTTGCAAGGTGACATCTGTGCAGTTACTGATTGTCTTCAGGACTTCCGTGATAACTTGCAAAGAGTCTGGGGTTGATGTCAAGAAATAGCAAATCTCCCATTACCTTCATGAAGGCAGGGCTTTCTGGCTTCAGAACTTAAAACTTTCACTCGCTAAATATTTCTGGTGTTGCTGACTTGCTTGTAAATGTGGTTGTAGTCCTAAACTGTAGCCATGTTACAGAACTATTTCTGTTTCTAACTTAAATTTAGCATTGACATCTATCTTTATTGTTGAGTTACTACCTTAAGAAAAAGTGTATTCCTGTGCCTTCAGAGAATCATACCTGATATTTGATGTTCATGTAGGGTTTTCATGCAATAATTTTTCTTGCTTCATTGTCTTTTCATATGCAGGGACTCTAATCTCTGGTGAGTTTGCTATATGCTGTGCAAAAATGGAGTGTTCAGCATAACTGTAAACAGTCAAAGTAAAACTAGATCACAATTTCCAAGAAACTTGTTTGAGTGAACAGCATTTCTATATGGAAAGAAATGCCCATTATGCACTGCACATAAGAATCTGCTGTTTCTGTAAGGCATTCAGGAGACATCAGTGTCACTATGACTAGGCCATCGGAAATGGCACACATAAGCCTATACTTCAGGAGTAAAGTCAGCATTCTTAAAGACTTTGTGTAAAGGAAATAAACCAGAGACACCTTTTTTCATTTCTTCCTTTCACTTTATGCAGTCAGCCTGATTCACTTTGTGTGTGGACAGAAAAAAGGCTCGGATGCTTGAGACCTGGTATTTGTTTCTTGCTTCAAGTATTGATAAACATAGTTTAGTAGGGGTATGTAGTAGGGAGTTAATCTAATCTCTGGTTAAACTTTGGGTGGGAAAAATTGCTGGTGATACCCATGTTACTACACTGTGCGGAGTTGTGATCTTGCTAGACTTTGACTGAAGTTGGGAGTATTTTTACCTGAATGTCCAAGTGCCTCTAACAGTGGATGCGATCGCACAGCTTTGATATGCTTATAGCTTAGTGGGCCACTTATGCAGTTAAAACTTGCTGAAATTGTGCTAGATTACTAGTTACACATTTCAGTTTTCAGCATTTCTAAATTTAGTTGATAGTCCTTTCAAAATGGCTCAAAACATTTGCTTTCTTAACTGTCTTAATTTTTTTATGTGCCAAAAACAAAGCTGAGAAAAATTACACATGCCTTGAGAAGACTTCTCTTTTGCAGCAAGTGTGGCATCTGTTCTTTATACAGCAGAGTGGGCATGGCTTGAAGATGCAGAAAGCTTAGAATGCATGCAGTAGTGTCTGAGATTGCTTTGCCTACTTGTTTTAAGTAGGCTAGTAAGATGGGTTTGGAAAGAAAAAAAACCTGGAATGAGAACCAAAATTACTTAGTAAGAGGAGAGATAGCTAGTGATTGTGTTGCCCTCATCAACTTTAATGTAATGTGAAGTAATTCCAGCTTCTCACATGTGGCTCATCTCTGCAAGCTGTCGTCAATAATTTGACATGAACTTAGACAAACAAATGAAGTTCAGTAGTTTGAGTTCCTGGAGTCCTCTCAAAGAACTGAGAGAAGGATACGGGTTATGACAGGGAGCACTGCTCCAGGCTCTAGAGCAGCTAAAGGCAACTGTTTCTCACTGTAAAACAATTTCTTGGAGAAGTTAGCTCCTGGACTCCCTGTGATGGGAGTTGATTATCAGATTGTTTTTAAAAGCCCCCTTGCTTTTATCAGTAAACCCTGGTATTATCTATAATGAACTAAGGAGCAGACTAGCTTCTAAAAAGCCCTTTAATATACTTTTAATTTTTCTACATGGCTATTAAGTACAACTTATTTTGTCTCTTCATTTCCAAAAACTTTGTGGGATTTAAACACTTCAGTTTCTGTCATGACTAAGCTTCAAATCTGTGCAAATATCATTCATGTTAGTATAATGACCTGGATTTCTCTTATCAGGTTCTGCTGTAGACTGGTGGGCCCTTGGAGTTTGTCTGTTTGAGTTTCTAACTGGAATTCCACCTTTTAATGATGAAACACCAACACAAGTCTTCCAAAATATTTTGAAGAGAGGTAATCTATCTCTGTAACTGGGGGAAAGTATGTATGTCCAGCATTTGTTTTATGGCTTGAGTTACTGATTCTTCTGCATCTTTGTAGATATTCCGTGGCCTGAGGGCGAAGAAAAGCTGTCTGATAATGCCCAAAATGCAATAGATATTCTTCTAACAATTGACAGTACTAAGAGAGCTGGACTGAAGGGTTAGTACTAAAATTCTCTTATGTTCCTTGCAACTAGTTAAATATGACAAAGTGGTGATGTCCTCCACCTGAAACTTAGACTAAATCTGTAATGCCAGTTTGGGTACCATATATAGTGCCAGAACACTTAAGTTGTGGTATTTTCTGTATGTTTGTAGAGATTTGCCCTCTTGAAGGAAATTTTGAGTGTTTGGAAACACAGGAAAATTAGAGTGTTTCCTGGTTTGTTTTTATCGAACTTTTGATTAGCTCTAAATGCTGTTCTGCTGTGGATGTTTAGTGTTTGGTATCTGACGTACCAAAGTTCACTCTTGCCTAACTCAGTAACAGGTATTTGTGGGTTTTGACCTGATCGATTTGAGCAGGGGCTTGATTAAAAGCCTATAATTTGGGAGAAAAGCCTCCTGCAAAAGTTACTTCAAAGGAGCTTTTTCTTAGGAGTCAGCCTGTCTTTACTGAATGTACAGAACAGCTAGATGCTATGTACTATACAAAGTCTATGTAATATTTTTCCCTTGTAGAAGGTCTTAAATGTGTACAGTTCTAATGGTGACTATATTTTATTTAAAAAATAACATGAAGGAAAGTTACAGTGAGAAGTTTTCAAAAAGGTAGAAGGAATCTTGAGAAAGCTACCCTAGAAATCACTAGAGAAGGAAATGATTATGGGAATGCTTACTCAAAAAGAGACTAAAGACTAGAAACTGAAACCAGGCCAGATCAAATCAGAGAAGGCACACAGTTATAAATGAAGATTGTGATGTCAAATGGGAATTCTGTGGCTCTTTCATGTCTTACAAAAAAGCATCTTATTGTCTTGTGTTTAACTGAAACATCTTCAAATCAAGTTATTGTCTTTATCCCTGCACATTAGGGTGAAATCTAATTGCCTGCCATGCATAGAAATTTTAACTAGGTAACATAATGGTTTCTTCCAGTCAGAAGTTTTTGGAAATCTGTTCTTTGTCAGGACCTTTATAACTCTATCTGATCTCTCTAGCCAATTTATAGGCTGCTGAAGTGAGTGAAGTTCTGTGAGTAGCTTTCAGGGCAACTGTTAAGCTTTCCTCATTGTGACTGAGTTTCCATCACTGCCTGTTGTTTTCTCCAAAACACATGTTCTCACTCTCTCCAGCATAGAAGGCTAGCTTACTGAGAGAAATCCTGGTTATACCATGTCCTAGCACAGTGCTTCTGCAAGTTTAGTCTTACCAAATAGGAGAAGCTTTAATGAAGCATTTGGCAGAGAATGCTGGTTCCAATGTCTGGTTTTGGCTTTTACCGCCCCTCTTCAGACATATAGACAGGAGCTGACTGACAGCTTTTCTTGGGGAAAGACATTGAAGTCTGCTCACCTTTTCGGCTGAAGACAGCTTTCAGTGTATGGGAACTCTCTTAAGAGCAGAACTATGGACAGTTCTGAGATAGTGGATCTGTTCAGTGCCCTGCTGCATATATGGGAGCTGAAGTGATTAGGAGTTAGAAGACTCTGATTTATTGCCTTTTGACTAAAATAAGCAAATAGTGTTACATTATTTGATCAGGAAATGTAGAAATAATAAACATTAATTTCTTACTGTCTATTGGGTAAAAGCATGAGCTATGTCCTTAGAATTAAAATTTGCAGTGAGTGTTTGTCTTGGTCAAACTTCCGTCTTTTAAATGCTATTTTTACTTGTCCTATTTGCTTTTGTGTGGGGTAGGTGATAAAAACATGGGTTTGTCACCTGCTGTGTTAAAAAGGTGCTTTCTTGGATTGAATCCAAGTAGCAAAGTCACTTTCATCAGGGAGTGGTGTTTTCAGGCTATGCAGAAGAAACACCAGACTTTGTGTGGCAGGAGTTGTGTTCTGGTCAGAATGGACAGGACAAGGGAGTTCTCCTTGGGTCAGCAAGTCTTGCAGCTTGGTTAGTTAACCTTTGGGCTGGGAAAGATGAATCTGGTGGTCTGTGGTATCTTTTACCATAACAGTGTTTAGACTCCTGTGTCCAGTAGGAGGCCAGAGAGGACTGTGCAGAGCAGAGAAACCATGAGCTAGGAAAAGGCAGGTGGCCTGGAGGAGTGGAAGAAGATGGGAGGGACTCTCACATGTTCACTCAGCACAGACCTTTGGCAAAATGAGAAACTGGCATTGAAGTGATGCTTAAAGTTTCTGTGGTGTCCTAGCATATGAGACATGCCCCAACGGCACCTCTGATCTGCTGTGTAGAACAGGTTCTCTGGTTGGGGGAAGATGGTTGGTTGGCATGACAGTTGTTTGATCCCACTGAGGTTACAGTTATCCATCAAGGGAACAAAGTGACTATGGGGCTTGGACAAGAGGATGTTTATAATGCTTGTGTGACTTCTGTTTCAGAACTAAAAAATCACCCTTTCTTTCATGGTGTGGACTGGGATAATCTACAAAATCAAACTATGCCATTTATACCTCAGCCGGATGATGAAACTGATACTTCTTACTTTGAAGCTAGGAATAATGCTCAGCACCTGACTGTGTCTGGATTTAGCTTATAGCATCAAGATAAGTGAGCCTTCTCCATGTTTTTGCACATTTACAGGTTGTCCTACTACACTAGCTTGGTCTTAAGCAAGTTTCCTTGCCAAATTTAGAGTGTGTTTTAAGTCAACAGTCTGGTTTTATTATTGTATCCTTTATTCTAAAGTGAAACTACTGTATGAATCTTAGCTGGTATCAAGTGCCTTCATGCTACATTTTCTCGCTTACTGCACCTTACTAAGAGGCCAGAACGTTGTATTTCTTGGAGCTGATAACACTTGGCAATGATGGGACTTTTTTTCATAGCAATGAGTAACTCCAGCAAGGTGGTATGAAGTTATTTCCCCCTTAAACATAGTGGGGAAAGGACATGAGTGCATGTAAATTGTAGCTAATTATAACTTACCTATTGGTGGGTTGGTGTGATGGCAGCCTTGTCTGGGAGTAAACCATTCTGGTCAGTTTACGTATACAGCCACTGTACAAAACTGTTTCTATTTCAGGTGGGAAATTGAAATGTTAATGCAGTGTTGAAATGTTTGTCTTCTGTTTATCTTATCCCAAGAAGGGGTGGGAAGAGGCAGTGTTGCTCAAAGCTAACTCAATGAGATGTGGTGGTGACATTGACAGCAGCTGTCCTGGAGAAGGATACTTGGGGAAGTCCAAATGCTGTTTAAATTGTTGCACTGTAACCACTTGCACCATACCTAGATGGATTGGACAGTATATGTTTTAGCAATTACTCATTTTAAATAGAAAATTCTGAGTGTGTGTGTGTGCTCACTCATGTTGGATGATAGAAAACAATCACCTGAGTGTTTGCCAATAAGTGAAGTAGTATTCATACTGAAGCTGCTGTATATTAAAGACAGTAATGCACTGTAAACAGGCTGTTCTGTAAACTCAACAACCAGATCTTAGATGTTACTAGAACTTACAAGTGTATATTAAGTATTCTAAATCCTAATTAGGGGGATATATTTGAATCTATTTTTAAATGCAACATACAACTTGCATCTGCTAGGTTTTAGAGGTTTATTTGCACATCATTCTGTTTTAATCACTTTTAATATTTTTCTTGCATAGGTATCTTTGTCAGCTGACTTACTGAAGAGGTTTGTGTTTGAGGTTTGTACTTGTTAGATAAAGATAGCTCGTGCTGATGGTGCCAGCCAGTGGCTGCCTGTCAGAAGCCAAGTACTCTGCTAGTGAGTTTGCCCAAGTGGCTTTTGAGTTCCATGAAGTGACCTGTCCTTCAAAAGGAGAAGAGTTGTTCCTCCATTGCCTTGCTTCTTGGGAGACAAGACTTATTAAGGGAATTCTGAGCAAGCAGTGTCTGCTGGGTTCCTACTGCTGCTCAGGGAGCTGCAAAGTAATAGGGATGGGAGCAAACAAGATGTTTCCTACAAGGGCAAAAAAAGCTAATTCTTAACAGCTCAGAATGAGAAATCCCACTCTAGGTGTGATAACGTCAACATAGTGAAGCAGAATCTTGGCAAGTTCCAAAGCACACAGTGACTCTCACTCCCTCTGCTAAGGCCTTCAATAGCAACAACTTAGAAGCTTTCTGAAATCAGTGTTACATGAAAAAGGTGCAAACAATAAAATGTGACACGCTACTATAGCAGTGGCCATAGGCAATGTTCTCTGAACATGGGGAGAAGTTCTTTACCATTTTTCCTGTGTATAGTCAGAATATATAAACTTAGGGAACACCTGAAGTAATCACTGGTATTTTACATAATTTATTCTTCCATTTCTAGTAATCTGGTTTAAGAAAGCTTAGGCTTACAAAGATGTACCTGTTTCATGCTGAGGAAAATACTCCAAAAATGTGTAAGGAAATAATGAAAACAACACCACAGCAGCTCTGGGTCTTCAGTACTTTACTAAATGTTTACAGCCTGTTCCCATTTTGTGTATCATACATTCCTCTCGCAGCACAAAACACTCATTGCAGGGGTATGACACATTAAAGATAACCCCTTGAAATAATTCTCAATCAGCTGCAAGGTCAAAGCAAGCTTCTATCAAAAGCTTTTCTTTACCAATCACAGTGAGTTACAGAACTGATTAGTCTTTCAGGTAATCTAGTGCTAGTGTGCACAGCCAGTGGTGCTCCACTAAAACACCGGGCATTAAAAAAAAAATCTTAACTTTTTGTTTTATGAAAACCTCAAGTCTTTGTATAAAAACTTTCATTTTAGAAGAAAATTATGGTTGTTCTACCCTAGTTGTATAATACAATACAAACCCATGAGTTCTGTACAGCAGTAAATAGGCTGCCTGACAAACCAGAATGTTTAATGTGACCAGTTACCACCACACTGCTGCCAGGAGCTGTTAAATTCTGCACAAGCAGCACTTAAGACTTGCAGTACCCTGTTGTCCTTGATGTCTTGGATTTATCCTTATAGCAAATGTGGAATTGAATTTCATGTTGACTGTTGGGGGTTGTGGTATGGTTTTGCCTGTTGGGGTGTTTCTTTGGTTTTTGTGTTTTGTTTTTTTTTGTGTTATATTTGTTAAAAATGAATTCTAACTTTATTCTTCGACATGGAGTTCAGTGTTAACTTTCAGTTGTGCTGGTTTTGCTCTACTTACTGACTTAAAATGTCAACTGACTTCCAGGCAAAAGTACAAGCTGTAATATAGCTGAAAGATGTAAAGTTTCTTCTGATTAGTAATTAACTACAGCTATTTGTGTAAGCTGGTGGAAGCGGGATACTTTGAAGCTATGGATACAGTTCAGTACCTTTAAGATGCTCTGTACCATCTCTGAAAGCTGTACACCTACATGTAAACGTGTGAATGAGGTGCGTCAGGAGAGTGTTTTCTTAAAGTGACTTTCAACCTAGAGCACCCTTCCTGTGTAATCATGTCTGTCTCTCACTTTATGGTAAGAAATCACTCACTCTCAGAACTTTATGCTACAGCCACAACGGCTTCAGGTCCCAGCAGAGCTTCCCTCCCAGCACAAGCTTTGTTCAAACTTGAGTTTTTGGTACAGCTCATGCCACAACCCATGTCTGGCCCACAAAACCATTGGATCGGTATACAGCAGCCGTCAGAGAGGTTCTGACCATTTTATTCTTTAATTTAGCTTTACAGTAAGAAAATCAGACAAGGGAAAAAGTAACTAAAAAAGAAAACTGCACTTAACTAAGAACAAGATTAAAATTTTTCTGGTAAAACAAACAGTTAATTCTATGATTACATTTTTATACAGCATAGTTTGTATGAAAAATGTTTTCCAAACTAGAAAAGATTTTCAGGAAGGACAAAAATAATTTTCCTCAAAAATTATTTGTAATATGTAGTCCAGGTAGAGAATTAAAGCATATCAGTAATATGGAGACATTTCTGAAGACTCTGATCTTAAACACGGCTTATGTAATGATGTAATTCTTCATAGCAAATCAATGTCTTTGTTTTCTGTCAAATCTAATTTTAGTGCATTTCCCTTCTCCAGAGATTTAGACAACTTGCTTATATATTAATTTATTTTAAAATTAAGTGTAAAGCATGCTTTGATCAAGTAAACTTCACCAAGTTGTAACGTGGTATATTGGGTAATAAATACTCTGTGGAAAAAAAAAAAATCAGCACCAAAATGAGCTGAAAAGTTTTGTTTTGAAAGAAAGTAGAAGGATAAAAGCGAAGAAAATATCAGAACTGGTATTTTTTATAACGTGGCTTGGGAAAAGTCCACAATAGATTGAGGCAGTTAATTAATAGATTTATTAATCTATTAAATCTTACTTTAGTTTGACATAAACTGACAACAGAAAACTTAGAGTGCACTGAGCTTTTTAAAACCTTAGAGCTATACTTACAGCATTAGCTTTCACCTCATTTTAAAGCACCTTGTGCCTAAACTATATTTCAGTTAAAACAAGCTGTCATCAACAAGAACACAATTCTCAAAGTTACAAACGTAAGGCGCAGCCCCTTTACATAGGTCTCTTTACATGTGGTACCACACTTGGTTTCCAACTTGTATTTGACAGTCCTTCTCTATTAATGGCTCTAACTTGTGAGACACGTACCAATTACCAAATCTCCTTTGCAATCTTTAAGGAGAAACAAAGGATCCAACTTCAGTGCTGACCACTTTGCATGGAAGTTTGCCCCACTCTGGTTTAGCAGCAAAAATAACCAGTTGAATTTGTCAGAGCTATGTTGTGTTTTCCCAACAGCTTACAATGTATTGAATTTATACTTTGTTAGTGCTTTCATCTGGTAAAAGGTAACCCGGTGGAAAAACAGGCAGGGATGTTGTTGTTGTAAAATTATTTCTATATTAAAGTGACAGTGTACATATTTTTCACTTACTCTTTTACAAAGATGATGTTCTCTTCATCGTCTGACAGCAGCAAGACCAGTAGTTTCTGAAGGCCCATCCACAAGCATATTCCAAAATAATTACTGTTCATATGGTTTTGAGGATGAAATTATTATTAAATTTATTTGTAACCTAGGAGCTTGTGAATCATTCAAGTTTGAATAATGTTAGTCCTTAAATGTTTAGCTCAAAGGCAGTACAAAATATTACTGTAACAGAAGGAACTTCATCCCAGATTCCAAGATTCTGTGAGACTTCAGAATTCCTGCACTTTTCAGTGCCGTCTTCTAAAAGTCTTTAAGCAAAGTCATGAGTTCTCAGTTCAGTTTTCTAGAAGAGGAATCAAATATACTAGTTTAATGTACCTTCACAAAGAAAATGATTTTGCATCTAAAAAACCCAAGCCTATTATGGCCACATGTGAATGACTTCCCATCTATTAAAACACAAAAACACTGCTTAAAGATACCTGAAAATCTGCCCTCTGAGGTTACAAAACTATCTGCAAGGGTACTGAGCTGGCCCAGCTTACACCGAGGAGCACAAAGTATCACTAGGAATTCTGAACTGCAGACGAAATTCCTCAGGTCAGTCCCTGACCACACCAGTCAGTGGTTTGCTAGCTCACAGCAGAGCAATGCTTATGAGTTTCCAGTGACTCCAGACACTGTGCAATCAGAATGTTCTAAAATTGTGAGCCAAATCTAAACAAGTCTCTGTTATTATTAAGAATACATTTCTATCTGTGGTCAGGTTTAGAGCCCTTAGGTTTTTGAGCTTTTCTCAGTGAAGGCTCCAGTATGAGTACCCAGATTTTCAGCATTAAGTTCCCTGTACAGGAATAAGGTTAAGAGGCTCAGAAAACCTAAACCTTGCAGAAGGGTGCTAAGAGTGAGCTGAGCTGCCCATTCCCAGGGACATGAGCTAAACACAAAGCTGCTGGCTATAGAACGTTTCCTTCCACCAGTTCGATGGAATTTGCTCCGTTATGCAAGAGAGCTCAGGAGTCATGGCTCCACAGCTTCACAGTGAGAAAACCTCACCTCGTAGCAGAGACTAGCTGAGGACAGTTCACATATTTAAAACCAATAATACATGGATGTGCTGAACATATGCACTGTGTACATGTGTTGCCTAAAAGCTGACACACCTCTACAGAGCGTAAGCTGAAACTGGCATTGGGGCAACACATAAGGGCTCTTGTTTTGCAATTCCATTTTCTCTCTAAGTGTACTTGAGTAACTTTGTACCCACTGCCAAGAGATGGGAAGGTGGTGCAGGAGCAGATGATAGTCCCTAAATTCTGGCTATGGGTAGATTTATTCAGAAACCAAGAGGAAAGCTGAAGAACACAGAAACTTCCTTAGCTGCTTCTGTTCCTGAAGCTCATCTCATGTTAATACAATCCATGAATGAGTAAACAAAACAAGGACTATCTGGTGCTACACTCTCTCTGTGTCTCATGGAGATACTGGTATTACTGTTAGTGGACTGTGGTACAAATCCTGTTGTCCAGAACTCACAAAGAATGTCGATAAATTGTGGAGCATTCAGGAGAGAGCCACCAGAATCACCCCAAGACTGGAAAACAGCTTTAAAATGAGATTCCAGTTGTTCCAACTGTTTTGTTCAAGCAGGAGATTGAGAGATGACCTGGTGATAGCAATAAAGTACCCACAGAAAACACATCATGGGCTCTTTGGCAAGTAGATGAAGTTCTAGGAAAACCCAGTGGATGAGAGGTGAAGATAGAGAAAGCCAAGTAAAAAGAATGTACCATGTAGTCATTTCAGCTCTGAGCCATTAGAACAATATATTAGAAAAATTGCTGGAAAATCTGCTTTTCCAAAAACTGATTTCTGACTGAATCTGTGAAATGATTGCGAGAGCTACAGAGGTCAGAATGGATGATCAAAAAAAGTTGTACAAGACCAGCATACTATCGAGAGAGATTGAACATGGCCATTTGAAAGCTATTAGCTAAACCACACAAAAGTTCATAGGAGCTTCATGTAAGATACTAAAACAAAAATTGTTATTGATTCTAAAAACCCTTGTCCTTGCTGATGAAATTGAAATCTTCACTTACCAGTGCAGAAGATAAGGAAGATGTGTTTAAGTGCCTGAAAGCCCAAGTGAAAGCTCTGGTTTCATCAGACAGTGCAAGTTACACCAATGCTGCTGACGACAGCTCTGAGACAAGGTAACTCCCCAGCAGCCCTTGTAGACATTGTTTGTTTATATCACCATGGGCTGGGCCCAGATGGTGGTGACTGGTGAGTGACAAAAGTCTAGTTGGAGGCCAGTAATTAGTGGTGTGTGCCAGGGGCTGATACTGGGTCCAGTCCTGTTTAACATCTTTGTTTATAGTCTGGATGGTGGAGCAGAGTGCACCCTCAGCGAATTTGCTGATGACACAAAACTCGGAGGAGTGGCTGATAGCCAGGGGGCTGTGCTGCCATCCAGAGGGACTGCAATAGGATGGAGAAATGTGCTGACAGGAACCTCATGAAGTGCAAGGGGAAGTGCCAAGTCCAGCACCTGGGAAGAGCTTGGCAGAAAAGGACCTGGTGGTCCTGGTGAACAGGAAACTGAACGTGAGCCAGCAACATGCCCTTGTGGCAAAGCAGGTCAATGGTGCTGGTAAATGTTAAATAAGAAAAAGGTGACAGATGTGACTCTGCAAAGGATTTGATAGGAATAAATTTTCTAATGGCATAAGGGGACTAAGGAGTCTAGGAACAGTGAAAATGGCTCAAGAGGATAT